GGACGGCGGCGCCGCCTTCACCGTCAACACCTGGGAGAGGAAGGAAGGTCGGGGGGACCGCGGGGACCCGGGGGTGCCGGGCCGGGGGCATCGCGGGGACCCGGGGGAACCGCGGAGACCTGGGGCGAGCTGGGTGCCAGGCCGGGGGCCCTGCCCTGGCATCTGCAGGAGGCTGCTAGAGCTGCTGTCTGGAGCTTTATAAAGCTGCATGTTTCTTCCTTCGGTCTCCCTGCCCCGCGAGCATCAGTGTGCTTCTGCTGTAACGTGGTGCTATATAACGTAACACACCTTGAGGTGATGCCTGCCTCACCGGGCGCTTTGGCGGCAGTGTGACCAGGGTGGGCCAGGGTGACCCGGCCGGTGTGGAGCACGCGGAGGGTGAGGGTGGTTTGGGGGCGTGGGGTAACCGTGGCACAGGGGTAACTGTGGCACGGGGCACTTGCTCTGGCAGGCGGTGGTGGCATCAGCTGCGTGCTCCAGGACGGCCACATCTTTGAGAAGGCGGGTGTCAACGTGTCCGTGGTGTTAGGGCACCTTTCCGTAGAGGCCATGCAACAGATGAAAAGCAGGAAAACTCTGAAGGACAAAGATGGTAAGAAGTCTTGCGGAGGAGCCAGGGAGTTGTAACGTGTTTATTAACTTACTGTTTTAGGGGTGGCTTGACAGCAGAGCCTGACCTTTGCACTCGAGCAAAATGTAAAGGCCAAACTTACATAAGCACTGCAATCTCAAGGAGGGAAGTTTTCATTCATAACATGGTGGTTTCTAACCGTTAAGCATTTCACAGGGACTTTCACATCCATTAAAAAATGGTATCAGAATGTTTCTCCCTCTGTCTTGCTGCTTTAAACAGTATAGTGTAGCCACGGGTCATTTTTTTTAATAATGACACTGTAGTTCAACAGTGAAATGGCATGTGAATTACTCATTCAAAAGGTGGAGGGAGAAAAAGACCTGAAGGCTAAAGAGGTTTTATTTTTGTTCTGACTTAACAGTTGTAAAGTAAAAGGGTAATTCTGAGGGCAGAGTGGGGTGGAAAACTTAGAAGTGCTTCACGTTTTAAGTGGTCTTCATCTAATGTATGCTCTAACATCTATTTTTTGTAGCATTTTAGGCCCAATATAAAAAATGTATTTATTTTTTTCTGAGGCACGTTAAAACATTTGTGCATGGGAATAAGTTGCACTTTGACAATTACGTCACACAGCATGAGAGACTTTCACGTAGTAGAACAGTAGTTTGGAAGCAGGGGATAAATAGTAAGGCTCTTCAAATAAGTTTATCATCATCTTTTTCTCTAGGGAAACTGCCTTTTTGTGCTATGGGTGTAAGTTCTGTTATCCATCCAAAGAATCCTCATGTTCCAACTGTGCACTTCAACTACAGATACTTTGAAATTGAGGAAGCAGATGGTAAGAATTATAATTCAGTGAAATATATATGAAGTGTATGACTTTGTGTGGAGGAAGCATGAATGCATGGTTATGGTAAGAGGTTGAGAACCAGTCCAGTTTTGTTACCATCTGTGCTAATAATTTGTTGTGTAGTACTGCATCTCTTAATATCTGGGCCTCTGTTTATGCATTTGTAAAATGAGTATAATGCTTGCATCTACATGCAAGCTACTACTCTTGCAGTAAACATGCTTGCAGTTTACTTTTTGCAAAGTACACTGGGGATTTCAGATTTAAGTACAACTGTAGGGTGATTATAAATGTATGCAAAACATCTATTCAAAAAAGCAATTCTCTAAGTTAATAGAAGAAAGGTCTGTCAAAGACTGATAAACATTCTGGTCAAGATACACCTCTGTCTCAGAAGCTGGGAGGACACACTGATAGAAGCATTGCTCTCTGTTTGCATCATGTTTTTTTTTCCTACGTTTCTGCAACTTGCTATTGTCAGAAGCCGAATTCTAGGCAAGGTGGTCTAACGCTGAGTGGCAATCTATACGTTTGAACAGTGCATGCACCACTGATTCAAATAAAAGCTCAAAGAGATTCTTTGAATTATTTTATCGGAGTATTATGGTTCATTTCTAGTTAATTACTTCCCCTTCGTGTAATAATGATATTTCCTTTCTTTGGCATGCAGTAAAATGTGGATTCTGAAAGTATCCAGGAAGTTGTGGTTTTCTTTCCTTGTATAAGCAGTGAGAGGTGTGACAGTAGGTGTTGCCAGCCCCGCGTCTTGTGAAATTGGCATCCTATAGCATCTGGTAGTCCGAGTAACCAGTCCAAAACTATTGGACAAATTTCACTGCTTTGAAATGTGTTTCATATCTTCTTGGAGTCACTGGCCATCACACTACCTTAAACTAGAGTTTTTCATGACTGCGTGAGGGAGTGGATGCAAACTGAATAACGGTTTTGTTTTGTATTGTGAAAATAGTTGTTCTTGGTGAACCATTAGCAATATATTTCTGTTTGGAAGTTAAATAAATAAATGTTGCTTGCCTCTCTCCTATAGGGACTAAACAGTGGTGGTTTGGTGGTGGAACTGACCTCACTCCAACCTATTTGAACAACGAGGATGCTGTACATTTTCACAAGACTCTGAAAGAAGCTTGTGATAAGCATGATCCAAAGCTGTATCCCAAGTACAAGAAATGGTATGTGGGGAGAGATGTGCTTGGATTGTTTTTTGTGGGAGTAGGTGGTGGTATTGGATAGTTCCAGTTAAGGGTATTCTAGGAACGTTGGTTTCTAGTGTGCCTTCTGATAAGTATCAGGAGATCGTGATGAAAAACAGCAGGTAAGTGCTGGGACAAAATGTATTCTACAGCGATTTGTTATTGACAAAGGCCTGAGTTTTTAAAATCAGAGGGCTGAAAAGAAAACTAGGATCCTACATCCATAGCCTGATTAAAAATAAGCTGACTCTGCAAGATACGGTGAGCCCTTGTCTCTGTCACAGACCTCGCCAGGCAACCTAAAAATTCCTTTTAGCCCCTGGTGTCAAACTAGGACAAGATTTTTGCCCTAGAAGCCCATCGACTTCTATTTGGACTACTAAATTCTGCTCACACTGAACTCATGGTAAATGCACATGTCTTTACTGTGAATTATTGGGCCAGCACTGCAGTTCTGAAAATCTCATTCCAGTTCCTCTGCCTTTAGTCTGATGTTCATTACTTTTCTTGCCAGGTAAGTAAAGGAGCTTGTCCTTAATGTAGAAGCCTCATAGTTTTGATGGAACTTCCTTTTTTATTTTTATTTTTCCAGTGACACCTTCACTGAAAGTTCAACAACATATTCTCTAAGGATACAAACTTTGTGTGTTCTTCTTGAGTTGAGAGATGCAGCTGATGAAATTTTTCATTATTAGCTGGAGGCTTGCTGCTCTGGGTCTGATATCCTATCTGCTACAAGCTATGGTATCCTGGAAGGAGCGTTACTCTTCTGTAAGCTACCAGGTCTTGTCTGAGGATAGGAGATAAAGTGGGTGGTATAGTTTGGGTGTGAACTGTTAGCAGAGAAGCACATCTTATCACTTTAAGACTACGGTCTCGTTCTTTGAGGAATTTTTGCATGGTAATTCCAAGTGCCTGCCTTAATGGTTGGGTTGTCACAGATCCCTTTGCAGAGCAGTAAGCTGTCAAAGCCAACCACCTTTTTTTGGTTGGAGAGAAGGACTCCTGTTCTTAATCTGAGGGCAGCTCAAGGGAGGACTACATTGTATCCCATGGATAAAAGGCAGTTTTTTCAATCCCAGCAGAAGTATTTGCTGTAAGCAGCAGCTGTATAGGGGCATGCAGTTTTCACTGCTAGAGTAGTGTGACTCTCTGCTGTGCTTATATAGAGTTGCCCCTGTTCCCACCTTTCTCAAAACAGAGAAACTCTCTTTGTTTGTCATGCTGTCCTCCTGATGTAGCTTTAAAACTTTTGTGTCGTGCCTGTTCTCTATTGCATTTCTGACTCAGCTTTTTTTCCCCTAACTCTTCCTGTGGTCATAAAATAAAAAGCTTATTCTCCTAATGAATAAAAAAATAACTTACATAATCTGTAATGTCTCCACCTCTATTGCTGTATAGTCGCACCATTTATATTACTTGAGAGCCATGATTGTGGATGGATACACGTATGGAAGGCTAGTACTAAACAAAGGCAGGGTTTCCTTGCTGTTAGTGGGTTTTACCTACTGCTTTCCCTCTGTTCCTTCCCCTGCTTGAAGGGGCAAGGCAGGGCTGCCTCAGCAAGTCAGAGAGGGAATGGATGCAATGAATCAGCTAATTTACAGTAATTACACATTTACACACTTTTCTCCCAATAAATATAAAATAGATTAATCCTCTCCTCATATAAGCTGCGCTTAATTCTCTCGCAAATTCAAAAATGACCAATGAACAGCCACTGGCAGAATGTCTCCAACTTTCAGGATTAATTATGAAAAAGCCTGCTTCCGGAGAAGGCTGCCACATTTTTTTTTTTCCTTAAGTGGTGGTGGCTTTCTTATTTGGTCCTGGGTTTTTAGATTCTTTTAGTTTTGATGCAAAAAGTAAAATAAATTCTTTCACCAAGGTGAAAAGGATAGAGAGATTTTCTTCCAAACCTATTTCATGTTCTCCTGAAAACTGTACAAATAATTTAGGATTTGTATATAACTGTGAACAAAGTCTAGAAAGAGCTCTTAAGGTAAAATTTGGAACTTCTTCCTTGTTGATAGAGGATGTGGATTGAATTACTCTATGTGGAAGCATCTATTAATTCAGAATCTGCCATGGTGTTTGAGTGTATGTGTTCATTCACTGCGCAGTGATACGTAGCCCTGCATTAACCATCTAATCAGAGCTTTACTGTAAGTGAATGCAGGACTGCACTCCTAGCTCAGCAGTGGAAAAGTGGGGCATCCAGCACACTGTAGGGAACTGACTTTTCATCAGTATTTCACTAGTGGCATCCTTGCTGCGCAGCTGTTTGGAGTTCTGCTTGTTTCTTTGAATGTTGCGTACCAAATTCATAATTGTCTGCTGCCCCTTCTAGGTGCGATGACTACTTCTATATCAAGCATCGTGGTGAGCGAAGAGGGATTGGAGGCATATTCTTTGATGACCTGGACTCTCCCTCCAAAGAGGAAGTATTCCAGTTTGTGCAGAGTTGTGCCAAAGCCATCGTGCCTTGTTACATTCCCATTGTGAAGAATCACTGCCATGACCCCTTCACGCCAGAGGAAAAGCTATGGCAGCAGCTTCGCAGGGGGCGGTGAGTACTGAAGGAGCGAAATGATGTATGGGAGGTGAACGAAACTGGAGAGAAAAGAATTGAACTAGTTCTTCATGGCTGCAGGCTTTATGACTTGGCATACGTTTTATATCATGTCATGATGTAGGTTATGTTTGCATGAGTAACTAGCCAGAGAGTTGCAACATTTTTGTGCACAGAACTGCTTTTGATATCCAATGCTCTACGGCCAGGGAGGGTGCAAAGAAGGCACTAACACAGCCTTGCCAATATTCCCCACTATCCTATGTCGCAGCACAAGCAACTCTTACAAAATGCCACAGCTCCTGACTCTTTCAAAAGCTGGGAGAAGTTGCTACGCTTTGTAGCAGGCATAAGGATGTGTGTGTTTTTTGGTGTCCTGAATCCTGCACTCTCCTTCAGTCTCACGATCACATGAGGAGCATGAAGGTGTCAGTAAGGGTGAGGGTGTCATGCTTCCTATTCAAACTAAAGCTAAACCCCAGAAAGTCATCCGAGAGTGCTTTCAGCTTGGATATGTTCAGCTTGTTAAATACATATTTGCTCTCTGTGATCTTTTTCTTGGCATTGAATTGAGTACACGGTGAACTCTTTAAGGTATAGAAGGGTTTTGTTTTTTCTAGCAGAATCTGAAGTCACTGTAACTTTAAAGACTTTAGAGGTTGCTTATTAATATGAATAACTATTAGCACTTAACTACAACTTAACTACTTCGGTAGATAAAACAATTGCTCTCATCTCTCTGTCTTTATATCCTGTCATGGTGTGAGTGTATGGAGAAATGAGAATCAACGTGTGCTTTGCACAGAAATAGGGAATCTTTAGTTTCTGCCTTTTCTGCAGAGAAACTGAGTGAACTGTGAAGGTGGCATAGAATGAGCATTCATGTTTAGATCACTGTCCTGCAGCAGTTACTGGACTGTTCCTGGGACTGTTGGGTTTTGCAGGATCCAGCGTGTGGATGGGTTGTAATATCTTGGTAAGGTTATATAAGGAGGAATAGATTCCCTTTAAGTTGCAGCCGGGACCGCCTCAGCCTACTTATTTCTCTGCGTATCTTTTCAGGTCATTGGGCTAGGGAGAACTCCCCATTTCTGCAAGGAAAGAGCTCCTCCTTTACTGTACCTCTGTTAAACAGCACTGACTTCAGCAGATTACCCCTGCTGAATTGCCACTGCTCTGTTTCTGTGCTGGGGGCAGAAAACCACCTTTGCGTTCCCTCTATTCTGGGACTTACAGGCACCAGCCAGCACTCTGAAGCTGTCTGACTTCTGTGGCTTTCCAGGCCTCCCTAAGAACCTGAAAAGCTTGCTCTGATCTTGCTTCTGATCTGTCTTCCAGAAGGACCTTCAGCATGCAGAACTGCACAGGAGAGTTTTTTCACATGGTCATTTCCAGTTACTTTAAGGCTCTTTTTTATGTCTGCCACAACCACGCAAAAGAGCACTGGCACAACCAAGCTGAATTTGACAGCGTCAAGTTTGCTAGCAGACTTGAGGCCTGGAAGAAGTAAGCTAGCACAGCACCTTGCACAATGCCCTCCATGAATGGTTTGTCCATTCTTGTCTGTTAGAAACCTGCCTCTTTAAAAGGGTTGTGAAACAAGTAGCCAAGGTCACTACTTCCTATGCTGTGTGGAGTGACAAAGTCACGTTTTCTTTCCTACGCAGAAGATGCTAGAGAACAGTCGCCCCATAGCAACGTTCATTCTGTGACCAAACAAGGCAGAAAGACAGGCTGTTTTTATTTGATGTCTTTTCGTGAAGAAGGTACAAGCAATTTCTGATAATAAACTTGTTCTTATATCTCTTTACTCCCCAAAGGTATGTGGAGTTCAACTTGGTTTACGACAGAGGTACAAAGTTTGGCCTAGCAACACCAGGATCAAGAATTGAAAGCGTTCTTATGTCTCTACCACTGACTGCAAGGTAAGGGCATAGTTACATGGAGTTGCAGGCAGGCACTGTTCTTACTAAAATACTTTACAGGATTAAATCAAAGGTTTATCTTGGTCTCCAGTCTCCTAACAGTGTTTAGTTCACGCCTAATACAAGAACAGGCCAAATATATATATAGGTGCTTCTCTGGTCTGGTACGCTGACCCAACTGCCAATAATGTGTGGCCTCGATATTTTCTGGCAAAAAGTGTGTTTGTGTTTTTGGGGGGTTTTTTTTGTGCTTAGTATCTCTTGATAGATTCCTCCCCACCAAAGGGTTTTGTTTAGTAGCTCTCTGAAACCATGTGAACTTCTGACAGTCCTGACAAGCCTGTGGCAAGGTATTTCACAGTTACCTGTCCACTGTATGAAAAGGTGCCTCTTTGTTTTCCATTTGCACTTGATGATTTGACTTTTCAGTGAGTAACCAGCTTTTCTTCCTGTTTGTTGTCTCTATAATAGTTTTGTAAATGATCTTGCTTAACCTTGTAGCAGCACAGCAACTCTGTCACTTACTGTTTTTTCCCCATTCTAGGTTGCTTTTGGATATGTTAGATAGCACAGGACCTATCCTCATTCTGTGGCACTCTCACTAGTGGCCTCCCTCCACTAGGAAAGTTGACCTTTGCCTGCTACCCTTTAACCATGAGGGCAGTCCCGTTCTCACCATGTAGCTTCATCCTGCTGCCAACACCAGACGTGTTCCTGACGAGCTGGTGCAGCATGGTCCTACTTACTGATTTCATTGCTGGGATAGCCTTACCTGCTTTCATTAACATAAATAGCTCCCTTCACAGCATTAATGGGTGGTTCTGGGGTGGGGGCTGGGGGGGAAGAGAAAAGGAAAAAGTGGTACCCATGCCTCCCTGACTGCTGGTGCTGTCTTCCTCTGTGTCATGCCTCTTGCCTGCCTTTTCAATAAAAAGTGGTCTCTCATCACCCTTATTTTTAAAACAAAGAATAAACATGGACTGGTAGTGTTTCCAGGCCAGCTTCTGGCAGAAATTGTCCTGGGCAGCTGAAAATACTGTATAAGAGTGAAGTCACAGAATTTGAAGCTGGCAATTTCTCTCGGGTCTTGTGTTCTCACTATCTTTTGTCTAGGTTCCTTTTTGACTCATCTTTCACATGATATTAGTGTGTTTAAAAAAACAACAGTTAAAAGATCTCTGCAATTAAATCTGCGTGGATTATGGAGTGAGGGGCATTACTCTTTTTTTCATTGATCTTCCAGCCTTTCCAGAAGTTGGGATAAAGATCAAGTTAACGTTTCTCCTGTCTCTCAGTGTTATTACTTGCTTTTGGTTTTATTGAACTTAATGATTTGTAGGCATCTCTGTCACCTGATGCGTGAGCATCAACTGTGTATGTAACTTTGGCATCCTCAGACAAGGCAACTCAAATCCAAACACAGCCCAATGTGGGACAGGTGTGAGCCAGCCAGGCAGTCTGAGTGATTGTGTCCCCTCTCCCTGCAGGTGGGAATACATGCACACCCCGCCAGAGAACTCAAGAGAAGCAGAAATCCTGGAAGTCCTGCGCAATCCCAAAGACTGGGTGCACTGAAGCGTATCACGAAGAAGAACGGATCACTTAGCCAATAAGAACATCCACAAACCAGCTCATTCAAATGCCATGCAATGGCAGTTTGAAGATAGCTGTTTATACCCTGATCTGGTGCCTTAAGAATGCTGTAGACTTGTCATAACTTGAAAATATGTTAAGTAAATCTTTAAGAGCCGTTTGATGAGCTCATGTTGCTATTGCCCCCTGTTGATGTTGCCTTGTGAAGGACTGGTGATGCGCGCACAGGACTCGTGTGCATGTTCCAAGAACTTCCCCAATGGATCTGTCTGACTGCAAAATGATGAACTACTGTGAAGTGTTCTCAAGTGAAATGAAAGCATTTTTTGCGCCGAAAAGAGCGCTTTTTCCAAAATATGTGCTGAATGGTACTGCTTACTCTTAGAAAAAGATAGGATGATTTGGAAATATATATATATTTTTTTAAAAGAATAAAGGGTGTATTTGGTATGATGTAAGCCTCCTTAGAATCTGCTTTCAACTAAGTAAGTACCACGTTTTTCACAACTTCCTAAGTATATTTTGATGTCATCCACACTGACTTGCGAGGAAAAAAAAGTGCCGGAGAAAGTACTAGGGCTTCTTGGTTTTAATCTTTCTGGAGAAGTTACATTGATCGCTTTGTCTTGGGTATAGTCCCTTGTGCAAATATACCTAGGAAAGTGGAATTCACAGGTATGAATCACACAGACAAAAACGTTAAGCTGTGTTTTACCTCATTTCATCTATCAAGGAAGCATGTTAATAAAGTGTCTTACAATATTTATACTGCAAAAGTCCTCTAAAATGTGGTAAGGCTTGCCTCTGCTTGAATGGGCTCTTTCACCATATTGGTCTGAAACAAGGGCTGCCCTCTGAAGGAGAAACAGATTCAGCTGTAGCTGAGGGTGATCCATCAGCTGGTCTGGGAGATGAGCCTGTCTCTCCTTCCTCTTCACCCAACGTGTGGGAGCAGCTGTTAGGGCAGTATGCATTATGTATACCTGAATGGTCAAGAGTGGGCATTTATTGTTGAACTGTAAATGACTGCCTTTATAAGGGGAGGGAGACAAGTCTGGAGTTGCACACCCCTACTTGCAGCTGTCTCAGTCTTTATACAGGGAAGAGCAGATGGGAGTGTGACTGCTGGGGCAGAACAGGGTGAAACCTGGGTTTATTCCTGAGGCTGTCTGGCCAGTTTGTCTATGTTTACCATTTATCTGATGTGAGACATCCTTTACTATCTGATCAAGATATCACAGTGTGATGGCAAGAACTGGAAAAAGTGGAAAGGCATGACATACTGTATTCCACATACTTGCACAGAAGCAATGCCGAAATCATTATTTGTGCATGCTTATATCCAGACGAGAATCTCTTTCTTTTGCTGAAAATGAGTAATGTTTTACTGTTAGCAGAGCCTTATATAAATCAACAGGGCTCCAGAAATAATGCAGGTTATAGATTTACTGGGACCATACAGGCAGTCTGTGCTGATAGCTGAATATCTCACCTAAACATAAGGTGGTTGTAGCATGAGTAAATATGTAGTTTTTAAACCCAGCTCAGTTACAAGAGTGCAGCTTTGTGAGAATACTGGTTGCAGCCTGCTTTCCTGCAGCTTAGTCTGCAGCAATAAAAACAAACCTGATCTATATTTAGAGGAGTATCAGCTGTAGCAAAAGAGTGCTGCTAATTTATGCTGCTGCAACTTGTTTGCACAGACAGTCTTTCAGTGGACTGGCTGTTCATTCTTTGGGTATCAGGCCAATTTGGGCCTCCCACTTAAAAGTCCAGATTATAAGGATTAAAAGGTCCATCTTTGTTCAAGTGTTAGTATATCTGCTGCTTTCTTTTATTTGCTAGGATATTCATAATTTGAGGATGCTGTGAATAAAACAGCAAAAGCTGAAAATCCTTGTGGTGCTGGCTCCTTATAAGGAGCAAATGTGGAAATAGAGTTTGACATCATAAATCTTTGCTGCAGCATAGCTATGCTGCCAGAGAATACATAAAGCATTTCTGTGCAAGTAATCACTGGCTCTTATGAATTGTTGAAGCTGGTAAAAACTGGATGCTCTGCTTGTAAGAAAGAAGAGTCTGAAAACGGTAACAGGAAATTCTAAAGACTTAGAAACTAGAAAAAAAATAGAATACTAACATTCATATAAGAGGCTAGTTGCTTGGGATTTTGGAGGCTGATTCGGGTTTTGGTCAAATACATTTTAGGAGTGGAATGGGTTTCAACACTTTGTCTTCTTGTGGAGCTAAGGATTTCCTGAGTCAGTGGCATGTATTGCCAGTGAGATTAAGCAGAGCCAGTATGCATATGGCTTCACAAAACCAAAACTCCACCCCTAAACCTCTTGTGTGAATTGGTTTTAAACTGAGGTTTGCAATATTCCACACAGTATAAATCAGTAGAAATAAAAGCAAGGCCAGAGAACAGTTTCACTTCTACCAGAGTACAAATAAAAGCAAGACTAGTCGAATAAAACATACCCTGCACCAGACACTTTCAGTGGAAATCCCCACTCTCTCCTTTTTTTGATCCAAAGACAAAAAAATCTATTTTCTTCCAGTGGTCTTTATTAGTAGTAACTTTAAAAATGTATAGTGCTAACTCCCAGAATCACTGAATCCCTGTCTGTTGGTAGTCTGCCTCTTTCTATTGCTATAATTCCTTCCTGTTGGTGTCAGCAACTTTGTGGGCTGTTACAGATTATGCGAAATCATGCTGATAAGGGAAAAGTTACTGTTTAAGCAAGGATTTGAGAAATACTGGAAAGCAACTATGCGGGCTCAGTGAGACCGATAGTGAACTCCTGTTAGGTGGTTTATAGGATGCACCTTGGTGATGCAACTTAGCCGATCAAAGTACCTGCCTAGCAAACAGGAGATGCTGGGTTGCTCTCCCGTTTCCTCCAGGCAGCACAGCCTCAAGCGTCCAAGAAAGCAAACAAAGCAGAAGAAAAGGGCGGGTAAACGAGAGCGAGAGGGTAGGCCAGACCCATGCGTGCTCAGCAACAGCGGCTACTGCCCAGGGAGGAGGCCGCGTTGGG